AGAGAGGGGTATTAGCTTGAAAAATTATACACAAAGAGAAAATAAAAATAAAAATAAAAATAAACTAAAAAAAAGAAGAAGAACAATTCTACATTATAAGACTAAAAAAATAATTTAAACCTTGAAAAAAGTAAAGAAGCCAGCATGCTTGAAACGGATTTAAAGTTGGTTCCTTAGCATCAAAAATCAAAATGATGTTTCGTCTTTAGCTTACATAGGATTGTAATTTACTCGATTATTATATCTCATTGTATTATGAAATCTATATAATTTATTTCTACTCTTCTGGTTGGTTTAAATTTTCCATCCAATCGGGTGGCCACTGGCTTTCGAATTTGATCTCGGGTCTCCTTCTTATCGTTCTGACCCATCAGCCACTCTAGTTTCAGTATTTTTTGGAGACAAATTAATAGTTAATACAGCCAAAGAAGAAAAAAAAACAATCTCTTGGCCACGAAAGAGGGAAAATAATATGCAATTATTATTTTTGGGTCAGATAAAAGTCGGTTCTGCTCCTGCACCAGATTTCTTCAACAATGGACTCATCCAAGTGGGCAAGCAAAGCAATAGTGATCACAAATATTTTGAGAGGACTCGGCAAATCCACATATTAATTTGCGATAACTAGCTTGTCCTTTTATTTTATTTAAATTCCCCCCAACGACTTAGTTTTGTATCAAGCAAGCTTAAGGATACATCATACGTTAATGTATGTTTTGGTTTGATAGAAACATGAGAATAGGACTTGTCTTTTATGCCTTATCATGTTTCTGTCACCCTATTTTGGCCAAATATAATTCTGTTTATAAATAGTTTAATATATGACATGGATTTAGATTTCACCTCAATTAATTTATCCCTTCTCAATCCAACTTAATAATAATAAAAATAGTTAAAGTGATGGAGTTTGGTTTTAATGAGTGATTAAGTATTATGATTAGGTGAGGTAGGAAGTGATGAAAGATGCGTCAAATCACATGGGAGTGGGAGGGGCAAGTTGACAAATTGAGATTTAGCAGGATTCGGAAAGGGTGGATAAGTCCACCGCAATGTGAGGCGAAACTGAGTATGATCCGAGTCAGCTTGTTCTGAAGGGAGGTCCCATAATGAATATGATTATTTCATAAAAGGGGACCCGTCGCTGTTCATGATTCATGAGGCCTAACTCGTACGCACTTTTAATTCTCCGCCACTGCCACCATAAAAAGGGAAAAGCCAGCAAAAACCAACACCAGTACAGAACCATGGACATGGAGGACACAAAATATACGGATAGCACAACAACAATGCCACCCTAACCCAACCCAATTTTATTTTTCTGCATCGTTAAATCAAACTGAGAAATACCACAAATAAAAATAACTAAATATTTATTTTAAAATAAGGTCGGTGTCATTTTAACAAACTCCAAAAGAGGTTATGACAATTTCTCCTTCATTTAATTGTAAATTTATTTTACTTTACTTTTATTTTTTGCAAAACAAAAAATGTTCCTTTCACTATTTAGGCACGTTGTTCACATTCTCCAGAACATTACTCGGAAACAAAGGGAAAGTGGTAAAAAAAAAATACTCGGAAGATGGAGAGAAAAATTAATTTTTATTATAGAAGTAGAAGAGTGAATGAATAATGCCAGAGTAATTATAATTCGACATTTGTACGATTTTTTAGTTGTTGTATATTACTCTTATAATTTATGATTAAATATCTCTTTTGGTCCCTTATAATATTTTTTTGTTTCAATTTAGTCTCACTTTAATTTTTTGTCTCAATTTAGTCCCCAATAACTTAAATTAGTAAAATTTGGGACTTCCGTCCAAATGATTTAGACGGAGTTAACTGTTGGCCACGTGGCATCTACGTGGATGTCACGTGGATGCGCACATGGACGCCAAAATTTCAGAAAAAAAAACCTGAAACCAGAACGGCCCATTCTGAAACCAGAACCCGTTCTGCTTTTAGAACGGGTCGTTCTGCTTTTAGAACGGGTCATTCTGCTTTTAGAACGGGCCGTTCTGCTTTTAGAACGGGTCGTTCTGAATTCAGAACAGCCAGTTCCAGAGCGCCATGCTTTTTATTGTATTTTTTTTTGTTATATCTATATTAATAAAAATATAATAAATAAAAAATATAATAAATTAATATTCATTTATGAATAAAACTAAAAAAAATCAAATAAGATAAGACCTTCCAAAATATTTCTTTGATTTGAATTTATCCAATTCAAAATCTTGACTAAAATGCCGCAATGTATTTCAAAAATTGAAAATAAAATTTAGGGTTTAGGGGTACCTCCTCAAGAACAGGTTGTTATTGTTGGGGTACATCGTCAATGACTTCTGTAACGCCTGATTTATATAATAATAATTATGTATTTTCTTATATAATATTTTCGCAATTTTATCATTAATTTTTTTTAATGAAGATAAAGATAAAGAAAAAGAATATTTTGTGAATTTATTACATGACATATCGTTCTAAAATATTTATAATAATGTACTATTTTACACATTATTTCTTTCTTCCATTTCTATTACAATATTTACATTGATAGTAGAAAGAAAATTACAATTGAAATAATATGGTTAAATAAAATTATAACAGATCCACAAATAGCCTCCATATTCCAATTCCTTCTAAGGAAGACAGTAGTATAACAACTGCAAAATGATCTGGAATCCCAAGTAGATCCATCTATTTTATAATATATATAATTAAAAAAAAAAAACAAAGAAAACAGAGGAGTGAGAACAATATCCAATAAATACAATAACTCAAAAGAATATACAAAATTATTTATAATCAATATTAAACATATATATATATATATAGATCATATATTAGATTTTCATGATACAATAAAATTTGAATTATACTTGTAGAGTGACTAGTCAGGATAAATGAGCATTATCATAATACCAACCAACAAAAGGATATTTCACCTTAACCAACAAGAGGATATTTCATCTTCATTCCTTATCATTTAAATCTCCAAGATCAAACCTCCGGCTACAAATAATTCAAACATTATCTTCTATGGCTATAGAACAATATTTATCTTCATAAATACGTGAAGAAATAACAATAAGACGATTCCAAGATATCACAACTATATCATAGTTGATTATAAATATATTTACAATAAATATATTTATGTAAAAAGAATATATTAAAAATACCAATGATATAAATAAAAATGACAATCATTATAAAATAATTAAACAATATAAAATATGAACACCTTAATAATTAATATGGATAAAAATAATCATAGATTAAGCAAATAAATGAGGTTAGGGGCACCCCACTAAATAAATATACATAAAAAATAATATAAATAAATATACATAATAGTATATAAAATTTTAAAGAGATAAGGTTCTATTTTCACCTTCTCTCTCAGTTATAATTTTTTTCACCCCTGCCTCCTATTTATAGGCATTCTGGCTACCCGGAACGGCCTATACTGAATCTGGAACGGCCCGTTCCGGAGCCTTCGAATATATGCAAAATTTTAAACTGGAACGGTCCGTTCTAAAATCGGAACAACCCGTTTTCAAAAAGCAGAACGGCCCGTTTTGGGGTCCCATTTTACATAGATTGACCATACGTAGAACGACTCGTTTCCAACTTCACTTTCTAGGCATTTTTAGAATTTCGGAACGGCCCGTTTCGCTTTGGGAACGGCCCGTTCTGGAAAAACCTAAATAAGCCTTTTTACAAATTTGGAACGGCCCGTTCCACTTTTGAAACGGCCCGTTCCAGGCCAACAAACACAAGCCTTTTTGAGAATTTGGAACGGCCCGTTCCACTTTTGGGAACGACCCGTTCTGAGCCTTCAAAATACCATAATAATATTTTTTATTATTTTTAATTATAAAAATTCCTTTAATAATTCCCATTCATAATAATCAAGTATTAAAATCTCTAAAATATTCCACATAAAAGACCCATTTTTATTAATTAATAACTATAAGAAAATAATTTTCATAAATATAATAATAATTAACCCTTGTATAAATTTTGAGATGTTACAACTTCAAGGAAACACACTGTTTCGTTTTATCCAATGTATAGTGTCAATTTGGTAGTAAGTGGTTCACTCCAGTTTGACTAACAATGAAATAAAACTTGTTACCATTGTCCTTAGTGATACACTGCATCATCCTTAATGATAAACTGTATAGTCCAAATGTTTAGTAATTGAAGTTATTAATACTCATTAACAATATTACCAAATATAGGGTTTAAAATGTTTTGTATTTTGGTTTTTTTGTGCACGAAATTCTGGACCAGAACGGCCCATTCTGAAACCAGAACGACCCGTTCTAGTTACACTATTGGTGTGTTAATTTTGAACCTGGAACGGCCCGTTCCAGGTGCAAATTTTACACACTAATAGTGTAACCAGAACGGCCCGTTCCGTTCCAGGTACAAATTTTACACACCAATAGTGTGTGTAACCAAAACGGACCGTTCTGGTTCCAAGTGTATTCAAGTATTTTTGGATCCACCTACGTGGCATCCACCTGACATCCACGCGGCCACTAGTTAACTCCGTTTAAATCATTTAGACGAAAGTCCCAAATTATAACGATTTAAATTATTGGAGACCAAATTGAGACCTAAAATTAAAGTGAAACTAAATTAAAATAAAAAAATATTGTAAAGGACCAAAAGAGATATTTAATCATAATTTATCGTTACATGACTGTATAAAACTATTTTCTATAGGTTGTAGATGAAAAATGTCCCCATTCTCTAAAAACAGACATTGAAAAATAACACTGAAACTGGTGAATATAAGTGTTTGGCAGCAGGCACTTTTACTATGGCATATAAATTGGAGAAGCCTTGGAGACAAGGAAGGAACATGGATTTACCATTAATTAATTCTAAAAAGGCAGTGGGAGGAGTGCATAAGATTCGAATGCAAATATATTTATGTTTTCAAAGAGTAATGATTCAGATGTTGCGTTGAATTATGTAATTTGTTTGCATAAGAGAAGAATGGTTGCTATATATATATATGAGAAATGGTAGCGTTAACGGAAACAAAAGTAGTAGAAAAGCAAGATGAACAGAGAAAGCAATGTGTGTAGGAGAGTGATTATTAGAGAGAAATGGAAGTAATAAAAATAACGAGAGATATAAGTTTAGGAGAGGTGTTTAAGAGTGAAGAATTAATGGTGGGAATTGGCGTCCCCCTGCCAAGTCCAGACGATGTCCTGGAGCGAGGGTCGGACCTGGTCCTCACAGAACTTGATGTACTCGAGGGTGTCGCCGGCGGACTTAGAGAACTCAACGACGGCGACCTCCGGGGCAAGGTCGAAGACCTCGATGGTCATGGCGAGCTTGCCCTTCCTCCCCTGGGTGGGACCCTGCATCCTGACCATGAAGTCCTTCTTGCCGGTGACCTTAAAGTTGAGCTTTTTCCCGATGGCCTCCAGCTTGGGCATGAGGGCGGAGGCGGAATGCTTGGATATGAACATGGAGGGCGACCTCTTGCGAGTCTCAAACAAGTTCCTGAGATCAAAGCCGTTGGAGAGCGAGGAGATAATCTCGAAGGCGTTGTAGGAGGGTCGAGCAGGGCTGGCCCCCACCCATTCCCCTTCCCCTTCCTCTTCCTCGTTGCTGCTGTCGCTGCTGTTGCCGCTGAAGTCCATGTTTCCTTCCACCGCGCTCTCCTTCATGGAAAACGCAATGGGCCTCATGAACCCATATTGAAACCACGGGTCCTTCATGATGTCCGGGATCGAGTACCTCTTCTGGGGATCCACCACCAGTAGGTTTGAGATCAAGTTTCTAGCCTCCGGGGAAATCCAGTCGGGGAAAGCGTAATCCGCTTTGAAGGATTTGCTGTAGATTCTCATCACATTCTCACCCTGAAAGGGTAAATAGCCGGCCAGGAGAGCGAAGAGGATAACCCCGCATGACCATATATCAGCCTTCGACCCATCGTAGCCCTTTTTCTTCAGAACCTCCGGCGCCACGTAGGCCGGCGTGCCGCACGGCGTCACCAGCATCCCGTCCGATCTCCGCTGGTCCGGCAGCGCCGACAGCCCGAAGTCCGTCACTTTAAGGTCTTCGTTCTCGTCCAGGAGCAGATTCTCCGGCTTTAGATCACGGTGGGTGACGCCGCGGCTGTGGCAGAAATCGACCGCGCTTATGAGTTGCTGAAAGTATTTCCTGGCCACATCCTCTTTCATCTTCCCCTTGGCCACCTTGGCGAAAAGTTCACCTCCTTTGACGTACTCGACCACCATGAATATCTTGGCTTTGTTGGCCATGACCTCTTTGAGCTCGACGATGTGGGGGTGACGAACCAAGCGCATGACGGACACCTCTCGTTTTATCTGTTTGACCAGCCTCTCCTTCTGGAGCCTCTCTTTTTTTATGACTTTGATGGCCACGCTCTCGTTCGTGCTGAGGTTTCTGCCGTGGTAGACCTTGGCGAAGTTCCCCTGCCCCAGAAGCTTCCCTATCTCGTACTTGTTGAAGAGGATGTTCCTGGATCGCCGATCCATCTCGCCTCACTCAACCACAACGCTAGCTCTTTTCCTTGCTTTTCTACCTTGTTTTTTGTTTCCTTTTGTGGGTGGGTTGGTTTCAATTGTAGGATTTGAATTGGAATTGGTGGAGGTGGGAGAGACCCAGATCGAAGGGCTTCACCCTTTTAATGAAGAGGGTGTCGAATGGACACACCACGTTCTGGAGGAAGCACTTGGAAGGGTTGAAGATCTTCATGGTCGCGCTCGCATGCAGGGGGACTCAGGGGTGAGGCGTGAGGGACAAAGAAAAGAATAAGGGGCCTGTGTTATATACCACTTGATCTTTGGCCGTGTGCCAAAAATAGAAGAAAAATGCTATGTTGTTAGAATTGGATAGCCAGAACGCGGTTTTATGAGGACTATGAGCTGAATCACGCGTGACACGGGATGCGATATTCATATGCGATGCAATCATGCAACAGAAAAAAATAGATAAGAAAACACACCACAAAATATCTGGAAAAACCTAAATTAAGATAAATCTGCCCCCCCCAAACACCCACTTTATTCGTTGCTTTCTTCTAAATTAATCACATTTTTGTTTTACTTCAACAATCTTTCCTCTTAATCCAAATCTAATTACAATACCCTTACCCTACTTCCATTTTTTCCTGTTTATTACCTTATTCATTTTCTCTTAATTTATCATTTTTTTCATTGTTATTTATTTATTAATTTTTTTTCTCATTTTTACTCTTGATAATTAATGTATATTTATTGAATAATGTGTCTATTTATTTTTAATGTTTACCTATTTTTTCTCCAATCACCTATATGAAGTTAATGTTGTATTTAAAATGATAATATGTTTTCAATGAAATATTATAAAAATATAGAGAATAAAATAAAAAAATAAATAATAAATATTTATAAAAATTAAAATATTAATTATTTCTTTAAATTTTACTACCTATTCTATATATCAATAATTAAATGGTAAGTATTTATGAGTAATTACAAGCATAAATGCATTAGATAAGATCAAATTTTGATGAGGAGTCGTGGAGATTGGAGAGAGATAGGATTAATGATTGGGGATGAATGATGAGGGGGTGACGTGGATGTGAGTCGAATACAGCTAAGTGCTTGGTTCGTGCGAGACTTGGATCCATTAACCTATATCCAATGGAAATTCGACGCGTGTACTTTGAACGCCGGTTTGAACTAGAGAATTCACAACTCATACGCCCATAAAATAAAACTTTGGGGTTGCCATCCTCTGCCCTAGAGTTGTATTAAAACTGTAGGCGTGTAAATGCACATCGAACCGTTAAAATTAATATTATACAAATTGAGTGGATGAGATTCTCGCCGTTCTTATTGGAACCGCACTGGATCCAAAACCCACAACTTTGATATTTCAAACTTCAGGGTCGCCGCAGAACACAGATTTTTCATTTTTCCTTTCACACGCACGCCCACGTTCTAATATTTGTCTTCATTTATTTATTTTATATTAAAACATACTATTCACCTCTAATGTAATTTATTCATTCAATTTAATACCATTATTATGCACTGTGTATTATATTTTATTGCATATTTCAATTTTATTTGATAGCCACTTGACAACTTGTAGTAATCTGTAATTAATTCATTCAAAGTATCATTCATACCCAAAGTTTACTATTTTTCTCTTTTCCTATATTTACTTCATTTCACTGTCATTAACAATCAAAGAGTTATCCTCTATATATATATATATAACAAAATATAAAATGGAAAAAAATTAAGTGATGCAATATATATCAATCACAAATTATTATTATGATAATTTTTTTTAATTTTTATAACAAATAAATAAAATATATATTAATAGTAATATCAAAATTTCTTATTATCGTTGAATGTGAAAGTATAACTTATTTTTACTGAATTAATATTTATAAGAGTAAAATAATAATTTTAGTCACGATACTATATATAATATTTAGGTCAAACTTGAATGTTACGTTAAAAAATATAAATAAATAAAAACTTTGTCCATAGAATATTTACGATCGATAGCAGTGACTAATTTTCTCGCTATATTAGAGGTATTTCAAAAAATGAGATAGTTATCCACGTTAAAAAAAACATAAATGCATTATCATTAAAATTTAGAATGGAACCAATAATAACATCATAAGTTTGAAAGTAAAATTAAGTTAATTTTTCAATGAAAATTAAATTATTAAGACATGCTTATTTTAAATTTGAATAGAAGTCATTTTAAATTATTGAATATAATTCATATATCACATTAATTTCAAACATGAATTTATATTAAGATTTATACTTTCCAAATTAATTAAAAAGTTCCAATTAGTGGGAGAAAAATGCATCGATTGGAAACAGCCTTAAGTTGAAGGCAAAGTTTGTCCCCAAAGAAATAAAATTGGATGTACTTCCAAGTTCCAAGTCCCAAGCAAAGATTAGAAAGGCGTGTCATTAATTTATATACACAGACAATAAATTATTTTTTGTCTACGCATAAATTTATCACACTGTTTATTACATTATTAAAAATATGTGACAATAAAATACATTTCTTCTAGATTTTTCAATATAAAAAAAATTACGCGGGCAACATAGATAAATTAAATAATAAATTTGACATTCTGTATCAATATTTAAAAGAAACAAAAAATCAAATCAAATCAAATAATTAATACAGCAAAAATCACGTGATTAATGTATTGAAGAAAAAATAATTTCTATAAAAAAACTTTCATGTGGAGGATTCAAATTTATAATTTATTAATTTATTAATTTATTAATAGGTTTCCGATAAATTGTACAAAAATTCGAATTTAAATGAAATTAAAAAATATGAGAGGAATCATTTTTATTCAATCAAGATATATAAATTTATGCTTCGATGTAAATATAAGCTGTTTGGAGTTTTAAAATTAAGAAAAACAGTTTTGAAAATAATTTATTTCAATCAAGATACATCATTTCTTTGTCTATTAATATGATATTGATTGCAAAGTAAAATTTTCATTGAGTGAATATAAATATAGTTTTTTTGATGGATTTCTTTTTAAATGTTTATATAAAACAAAGAACGAAAATTTACATATTTATAGTATAAAATAGCACAAAAATTATTATTATTAATTTAATTAAAATACAGGTGTAAATTATCAAAATTACACTTCATTACTAAATTTTGAAAAAATTTATTGACTATACTGTAACATTTAAAAAGAAATTGACGAATTTTTTTTTTTTTTTTTAAGATAGCATCAATTCTATATTTTTTTTAAAAAAAAATTGTTCATCTTTTTTTTTTTTCAGAATATCTTCTGGATGAGTACCAAAGAATATTTATTTTTTAGTATTTATTGGCTTTTCTCTAAATTTAAAATATATAATATACAATCATTTATAATTACATAAGAGTATACAACTTTCTTTAGAGACTAATTATTCTTGCTTAAAATAGTGTGATGATATTATTTCCTTTTCAATAGCTTGTTAGTTTTTTTTTTTTTTCCCGATGGTTCCTTGTTAAGTGATTTCTTTATTATGGCCAGAAAGACGTGATCTTTGTATCAACTAATCTAAGATACACATCACAATCAATCAGTAATTCAAACTTTAAAGCACACAAAACGTGGCAATATTAAATGTGTGAATACACGCATTCCTCTCAATTGGGTTTGAATTGTAATTTTAAATTTTAAGCAATTACTTTATTAAAGAATTAAATCGTTTGTATATGCTTGATTGTAAGTAACAACTTGGGATCGTGATTTCTAACACCACAAATTATACGAGTATACAGCAATAATATGCTAGCTAAGAATTAAATGAATTTTAAGTTAGGTATGAGGATTGAGGATGCATGATATTCTTCCTAACTTTATATCTTTGTATTTTTATTACCGGTAATTCAATAATTTGGGTTTAAAAGTTTGTAAACTTAAATTTGAATGATCTTCAGTTTGCAAATTGCAAATAAAAATTTGATGTTGCTTTCAAATAAAACTTAGTTTGAAGCCAGATTTAAGAGTGTAAATGTACTTTTGAGAGAAACTAAACATATCACCAAACTAAGCTTACTAGAATAAATATAAAGTTGAAGTGTCTGCACAATTGTTTAGATATTTGGTAGCATGAGCTACAGAAAACTATGCCAAGGACATAACCCATCTATGCTATCGTTGTGACATGGCGTGGCCCCTTAGTCCGGGCCCAGCTTTATTGACAATTCATATCTTTGGGTTTAGCAGCTACTTTTGGGCCTGGAGGACCACAGTCCAATTAAGAGAAAAATCCCAGTATGCAGGGCTAACTTAATGGAAAAAAGATTATTTTGGTTCTGCATAATCCATGGTGCAGATATAGATTATAAAAAATAAAAAACAGAAGAGGGGCTCCATGGTTTAATTATGGGCCAATTTGCAAAAACTTACGAATTAAACAGGTTTTTTTTGGTGAATTCGTTGATAAGATATAAAATATTTTTAAAAAAAGTTTACTGTAGTAATCTTTAAGTTAAAAAAATTGTGTGGAAATGGAAATTGTTGAAATTGTTTTAACTTAATCAATGACCTTGAGTATATAATTGTGTTAAATATTCAAACTGAAATGTCTCATGTCTTTCATAGAAAATACTTGTGGTCCATTAAAAAAAAAAACTTATTAAAATGGGCTATACATCATTGGGAGCTATACAAGAAACTTTGTAAAAACAAAAACAAAAATGAAAGAAATAGGCATGGGAATTGGTGGATGGTTGGATGATGTAAGTCTAACCACAGATTAAGTAGGCATATTAAATAGGAGCCATGGAAACGTGGTACTATTCAAATAGGCTAAAATTGACTGTGGATATGGATTGGATCCCATGAGGATAATCAATATACCCAACTCTAGTTTTTATAAAACAAGAAATAGCAATGTACTTTTTTATCTCCTTCTTTTGAACGTACTTTATGATATTAATTGAAAAATATTGAAATGAACGAAATATGTAAATCTCATTTCATATTTAACAAATTGTACACATAATCTAATAAATGCTGATATCGGAGGATGTCTGGTGACAGTATGACTTAGTTTAAATTTTGAGGTGATAAAAGGCGAGACATGACAGATTCATAAAGCAAGCATGGCATATAAGAAAAATGTTAAAGTTTGACTAATGTGGTGATTGGACCGACAGAAGAAAGTGATATGAATAATTAGCTTTAGGCTGGGACTTAAAAGTCAATCCTCGTGCGCATTCCTTGTTTGTTTGTTTCCCATGTTTTTGCTTACTTTTTTGCGTTCGCTTGATCTGTGGTTGTTAAAATTAAACAGAAGAAGAAAGTTCCGATTTGGAGTTCTGACAAAGTGGGCCCAAATAAGTTCAACTAGAAAGAATATAATCAAGTTGCCATACAT